CGGAGGCGGGGGCGGGCCCGAGGGCGGAGCCTGCTGCCGCGCTGGCTCTGCTCGGCGAGCGCGTGCTCAACGCGTCGGCCGAGGCGCGGCGAGCAGCCGCCCGCTTTCATCAGCTGGACGTCAAGTTCCGCGAGCTGGCCCAGCTGGTCAGCCAGCAGAGCAGCCTTATTGCCCGCCTGGAGCGCCTGTGTCCCGGGGGCGCGGGCGGGCAGCAGCAGGTAATGCACGCGGTACCCCCGAAGCCACTTCCTGTGCATGTTGTCTGGAAGATGGGCCTCCTGCAACCCCCAAAGTCTCTTATCTGCAGTTCCCAAATCCGAGAAGTTCCAAAACCCAGATTCCTACCTCTCCTCCTAGAATTCATTTGGGTCAAAACGCTACTGGTGGCTACTTAAAGTCTTTACTTACCCACTTCATATGAATATTCTTACAGTCTTGCAATCAAGCATATTATGTGGATAAAAACCCATGTTATGGAGGTGTTATGTCATGTACAATACAGACCCTATATTACTGTTTCTAACTCCTGCCATATTATTCTGAATTCTGGAACGTGTCTGACCCTGGGTTTTGAATAAGAGATTGTTGCTCTGGGACAGTCCCTGCCTTACAAGGTTGCTGAGAGCATTCAGTAAGTTAATACTCATTGTTGCAGGCACTCATATTATTAATACTTTAAAGAAAAGGATTTGGAGGCACGGATTGGTTAAATTGTGCATACCAGAGCAGGAATTTAAGCTCAGCTGTCTGCTCTTGAAAGCTAGAATTAGGCATTTGGGGAGGATCAATCCATATCCCTCCCTGACCTCCTACCCATCTGGATGCTGAGAGATTTAGGAGCCCAGGGTGGCTTGGGCTGAGGGTTAATGCAATCACATGATTCTCTTGGTCACCCAGGTCCTGCCACCACCCCTGGTGCCTGTGGTTCCGGTCAGTCTGGTGGGTGGCACCAATGACACAGCCCCAGAGTCCCAGAGAGACCAGACCCTAAGACAGCAGGGGCCCTTGGCCTTTGCCATGACCGCAGGGCACCCTGCTGTCCCCACCAAACCAGCTGGTAAGATGAGGGCCGGGCTGTTGGGCTGGGGGGTGAGAAGCCAGGGAACTTCTAGTGCAGCATGAGTAGAGGGAAATAGGAGTCAGGATTTTAATGGCATATTCCTTTCATAGTGAGAGGACTGGAGGAAATACTTTTAATCTGGTGACCAAACAAGGGGCTATGGCTCTTACACTGATAAAGACCAAAATCCTTACTGTGATGTGAAAACAGGAGAGGAGGCACTTTTATTTTAAGGAGGGGTCAGGGTATTTAAGATTGCTACTTTGGTGAGAACTTGTGTTGGTTCAGAGTGCCATATTCAGGACTCTTATTCTGGTAAGGAGACCATAGAACCGGGATATAAGAACTCCAGGATCTACATGTGCCTTAGTGAGAAGAGTGACTGAGTCTTATTCAGGTAAGGAAATCAATACTGAGTTACTTATTCTGATGAGAGAATGGGAGAGACAAGATTGTTGTTCTGGTGAGGGGACCAGTGTGATTTAGGACTCTTACTCTAATAAGGGGTTGGTTGATCCAGGCTGTACTTACCCCATATTTCTGTGCCCACAGGCCCATGGCAAGATTGTGCAGAGGCATACCGGGCAGGCCACAGGCAGAGTGGAGTGTATGAGCTGCGACTACGCCGGCATGTGATATCAGCATGGTGTGAGCAACAGCTGGAGGGTGGAGGCTGGACTGTGATCCAGAGGCGGCAAGATGGCTCAGTCAACTTTTTCACTAACTGGCAGCACTATAGGGTGGGTGCAGTTTTGTAGGGGCAGGGCTGGGCAGGGGAAGGGACCTACTCCTAACTTCCTGACTTTCCTGCCCTGCCAGGCGGGCTTCGGGCAGCCTGATGGAGAATACTGGCTGGGACTTGAACCTGTGCATCAGCTGACCAGCCGTGGGGACCATGAGCTACTGGTGCTCTTGGAGGATTGGGGGGGGCGTGGTGCACGTGCCCATTATGATGGTTTCTCCCTGGAGCCTGAGAGTGACCACTACCGCCTACGGCTTGGCCAGTACCATGGAGATGCGGGAGACTCTCTTTCCTGGCACAATGACAAGCCTTTCAGCACTGTGGATAGGGACCGAGACTCCTATTCTGGTAAGGACCTCTTATTCTGGTAGAGGGGAAGGGTGGGTGATAGGGGAGGTGGTACTTCTAGTGAAAAAATGGAAGGGGTGGGTAAGATTTCTGTCTGGTAAGGATCAGGGTATGCAAGAGAACAGAGGACAGGACTGTTTTTCTGGTGAAGGGCTGGGGAGCTCAGATTCATTCTCTGATGAGGCAATAAAAGTCAGGACTCCTGTTCTGGTGAAAAGCAGGGCATGCATGTGGGGAGTGTGTGAGAACTAGGACTCTTATTCTAGAAAGGAAGTAGAGACCCCCCCCCCCTCGGTACAGGAATGAGAGGTAGAGATCCTAGTTTGCAGAAAAGGTAGGAATAATGTAACTTGTACTTTGGTAAGGGGATAGGGAAGGAATTAAGGCCATTACTCTGAAGAAGTGAGGAGCCAGGGGATATCTAGCTAAAGCCTTGCACTAGTAAGGTACTAGCAGAGGCTTTTATTCTGGTGAGAGGACATGAACTCTCTCTCCCCTCAGGTAACTGTGCCCTGTACCATCGGGGAGGCTGGTGGTACCATGCCTGTGCACACTCCAATCTCAATGGTGTGTGGCACCACGGTGGCCACTACCGCAACCGCTACCAGGACGGCATCTACTGGGCTGAGTTTCGTGGTGGGGCTTACTCTCTCAAGAAGGCTGCCATGCTGATCCGGCCCCTGAGGCTGTGACCATCTGTTCATCTGTCCCCCAGGTCTCAGGGGATGTTTGTCAGCAGGAGCCCAAGTTGTCCTGGCCACACATCCTTTGAGGTTCAGTATGAGCCATGTCCCAAAATCCTTCCCACTGTGGATCTGCTCCCTAGGACCCTGAAAATAGGACCCAGGAATTCCCCTGCCAACATCTCCAAACCAGATGGCTCCCCAAGGGCACTTAGATCTCAGTTTGAGCTCATATTTTATAACAACACAAAATATCTACAGACTGTGTCTGGTTTGCGTCTGCACCTGGCAGGGGTCACTCCCTGTGCCCGCCCTCCTCCTCCTCCTCCTCCTCCTCTTCCTCCTCCTCCTTCAGGTCCTCCAGGATGAGGTTGTCCAGGTGTTCTAGGAGGCCCCCCTGGCTCAGGCAGGTGGCCACAGTGGAGCCACTGCTGATGTGGGGGTTGCTGGGGTGCAGGACTTTGGGCAGGTGGTTCTGCTTCCGGCTCTTGGGGTGTGCGCAGGATGTCCCAGGCACGTGGGGCTCTGGGAAGGGAGGGGTTCTGAGGTCCTGGGGCTTGAGATCACATGAGACTCTGGGGACAAGGGGGCTGAGGCCAAGGAGGCTCTGGGGAGGGAAGGAGCTGAAGCTACAGAGTCAGAGCTATAGTAAATTCAGAGGTGAAAGTCACAGGTGTCAAAGCCACAGGAGACCCAGGGACATGGGCGTCACCTGAAACTCCAGAGACAAAACAGGAGCCAAAAATACACAGAACACAGAGGCAGAGGCCACTGGGGTGTGGGCCACTGGAGAAAAATTACGGAGCCTCATGGGCAAGATCATGGAAGGTGGCTGATCCATGGGAGGTAGTGTTGGAGGCCACAGAGACTGTAGGGTGGTGGGTACAGAGGACATGGAAGAAGGGGCCAGTGTCATGGGAAGTGGCCATGGGGACTGAGACCTTGGTACTTAAGGCCCCAGAAGTTGATGTCCTAGGAGTCAAGGCCAAGTAGACTGCCCAGAGTTGGGGGAGGCCAGGGAGGACACACCAGGCCCTTACCTCGCCGGTTGTAGCAGTCAGCAGCTGAGCAGGAGTGGGTGTGAGTGCTGCGGTGATCCGTGTCCCGGTCCCAGCGTGGTGGGAGGATCCGTGTTGGATGCACAGGAAAGCCACACCCGTAGCAAGGGGATGGGGACTCCATCTGTGCCCAGCCCCTGCAGTTGGGCAGGGCCATGAGCGTCTGAGGGTGAGGGTCAGGCTGGCTGGGGTGGGGCCAGCGCAGGGCTGGAGTGGGGCAGGGCCAAAGGGTGGGGCAGGGTGGGGGTCAGCACCCTCACCGGAAGTTGTGCCTGCACTTGGGGCAGTGGAACTCAGCCACGCCCCACATCTTGTCACTGGGTACTGGCTCATAGCGCTTTCGGCATTTCCTGCACCGGGACACCTGTGGGTGTGGAGAAGGGAGCAGGCTTACTATCAGAGGGGAGCTCTGGTAGCTTGATATTGGCGACAGTGGGAATATTTACACCATGGAAATTGGTGAACACTACAAATCTGGGGTCCCTCCCAGCCTATCCTTCAAGAATTGGTTCAGAAGCCAGGTTTGAGGTAATGGTTGCAGAGTCAAGTTTGATTTCTGTGGTAGCTGTCAAACTCTGGGGTAAGGGTTGAGCTCCTCAAGTTGAAGGTCAGAAGTCCAGCTCACGGTTGGGAATTGGGATCTGAGATCAAGGCTGAGCTCTCAGAGGCTGGTGTTCTTAAGAGCTTCACATACTGAGAATAGGGGTTGGAAGTGGAGTTTAGAACAGAGTCAAAGAGAGTCAAGGTCAGGGTTTGGGTTATCACCTCCTTCCGCTGAGGCACGCGGCGCCACCAGACATGGTCACAGGAAGAGCAGGCAAACTGCCGGTCCACGGCAGGGATAAGGTCTTCCTGGGCACGTTGGAACATGCGTAGGTTGGCTTCCGTTAGCGGCAGGAGGGAGGTCGCTACTGCCTGGGGAATAGGGGGTGGGTGAGCACTAGACATAAACATGTCAATTCTACTCTCCCAACAGATGGCCCCCCTCTTGCCCCTATGATGTACCTCTCTCTCCCCAGTGAATGTCCTCCCTGTTCCACCTCCCCCATTCCCATATCCTGGACTCACCTGGATGTCTTGGTCCTGCTTCATGTTCTCTGGTGGGTCCTGGGTAGAGATACCAGGGGCAGAGGCTGGGGATTCAGCTCAGGACTCTTTCACCTTGTTTGTTGGGGGAGGGTCCCAGTCCCATATAAGAATAGAGTGTCCCTAACTCACAGGGAGCTGATTGAGCAGTGCTCACTTACTGAGAGCCAGGTGCATGAACCTCAGTTATCCTTATAGCAGTTCTGAGAGGTGAACATACTTGTTGTCCCCATTGTTCAGATTGGGAAACTGAGACCCAGAGTCAGGAGAGGGCTTGCCTGAGATCACCAAGTCAGTATAGTGAAGCAGGACTGGACCCCATGCTCCCATCCTTGTTGACATTGGGACAGGTTGCCTCTTTGAGGCCATGCTGCTTTAGGCAAAGTGTTCCAGTTCTGGGTTCAGACAGAAGCATGTTTGAGTCCCTGGCTCCATTACTTCCAGTTGTGGGAATGTGGCCAACCCACCCCCTTGGGTCCCTAATGAGGGGCATCTCAGAGCCCAGACTCTGACTCTGAGTGGAGTTCAAATCGTAGCTGCCACCTGCATGCTGTATAATCCTGGCCAGTGATTTCATCACTCTGTGTCTCCATTTCCTTATCCATAAAACTGGGCAATAAATAATAGGACCTGTCCCATGGGGCCACTGTGGCAATGAAAGGAATCAACAGGTTAAAGTCCTGGAGTCCTGCTGCAAGGGAAGTGCTCAATCAATGCTACTCTTTGCTATTTTTAGTATCTTAAAATATGTTTTTACTGATTTTAGAGAGAGGAAGGGAGAGAGAGAAACACTGATGTGAGAGAGAGACATCTGCCTGGGGATGGAACCCAAAACCTGGGCATGTGCCCTGATTGGAATCAAACTGGTGACCTTTTGGTACACAGGGCGACAGTCAACCAATTGAGCCACATCAGCCAGGGCTCTTTGCTATTATTTTTATAGTACTCTTTATAGGTATAAATGTAAAGGGTATAATACATATTTTATTATACTCTTTAACAACTCTATGGTGGGCCTTTCAGGCAGGCAAAATCCACAGTGCAGCAGTTACCAAAGCCATCTGAAGAGCTAAGTGGCCATGATATTCCTGTGCCTCAAAGCCTTTCGTTCGTTCATTCATTCATTCACTCATTCATTTAACACATGAGCTCCCCTGCCCCTCTCTCTTCCGCCATCACCTGCTCATCCCAGCCTGTTTGTGTTCCTTTGCTCAGCCATTCCCTCTTCCGGGAAGGCCCTTTCTGACCCCTCCATCCCCAGGGATCACTATTCTCCAGTCTTGAAGAGTTGGCAACATATCGTCCAGGAAGCTTTCCCTGACCTCTAGGGCTCCTCTGTGATGACATTAATCCTGGCTCGTGTCACTGCCTAGTTTCGTATCTCTCTCCCCCATTTAATACCATCAGTGTGTAATGAACACCTACTGTTTGCAGGCTCCCTGGCTGACAAACAACTGAGAAGTAAATGGGGTTGGACCATGAGTTGTGAACTGGCAGTGCACTGAGGGGGCTCACCATGGATGGGCTGGGTTCCCTCTGTCCTCCCTCCCCAGTTACCCTGTCCTTTGAGGAGAGGGAGGCAGTTTACCTGGGCATCCAGGTCATTACTCAGTTCCTGTCCGTCTTTCTGCTTTACCCCTGGTGGGGAGAGCAAGTGTAAGTGAAGGGCCCTTGAAGGATCCTGTGGGAGTTTCAGGTCCCCAGAGCCCCAATAAAGAGCCTCCCCAAGACAGGATCTCAACGCCTCTTCCTACCTTCCTCACACACCACGCTCCCCCCGCCCACGGAACCCCCACCAGGCCTGGGACCCCAGCTTGCCCACCCGCTCACCATACACGATGGAGCGGCCCACTCCAGTGTGGTCGCTGCCAAATTTCCTCATCAGAGTCCCCGCCTTCTTGGAGGAGACCTTCCCATGAAACTTCTCTCGGAGGCGCCTGACACTCTTCTCCAGCTGGGGTGGGGACAGGGGGGCTCCGATGGGGGAAGGAGAAGAGCGATCGCCCTTCCCCCATTTCTAGGCATCCTTCTCCCGGTCAGAACTTGACCCTCAGTTTTGGCCTCCGCACCTCCCACCTCCATCCCTCCATGGCATTTCCTGGAAAAAGCCAAAGTCCCCACCGGGCATTGGGGGAGGGTGCGGACTGGGGCAAGTGACCTAGGCTCAGGAGGAGGCCGGCCAGGCATCCCCTGGCCTTTGACCCTAGACACTGCGGTCCCCGCAGTTAGTCCCGGAGGTCTCACTTCGCCCTGGGGGAGGTGGCAGTCGCTCTCCTTCCTGCGGGGATGGGGCGGGACTAGAGCCAGCTGGGGAAAGGTGTGGGCTTTGGCTGGAGTTCCGGGTAACTGCGAAGCCCCCTCCGCGAACCCGGCCCCGGCCCCTCCTCGGCGTCTTTCGTGGGCCACCGGCCCAGCTGTAGTCATCTCCTACCTCCACACCTTCCTGAGACATGGTGGCGACTACGCAGGTACCCGCAAGGGTCCGCACTGCGCGCTCCGCACCCCCTGCACTTGGGCGCGCCCGGCGGTCTAGCAGCGCTCAGAGCAGGGGGAGGGGCTCCGGGCAGGCTCCGCCCTTCCTTCCCGGCCCCCCCCGCCCCTCTTCTCTCGGTTTCCTGGGTTTTGGGGGAGGGGGTCGATGCAATGGCTCCGCCCAGGTTCCGCCTCTGCTCTGGCGCCCCACACCCAGGAGGGCTCCTGGGGTCTGCACCCCGTGGCGGAGTGCGCAGACCTCGGGTGTGGAAGGCGGCGCGGCCTCTGCAGTCGGTCACATGTCCCCACGCTGCGCGGGGTCCGCGTCTTCACGTCCCTCGTGGGGGCGGGGCCGTACCGAAGGCCGCAGCAGGCCTCCGCGCCCCAGCCCCTCAAGCTCGCGCTCCCCGGCTCCCCCCACCCTCCTTCCCCAGGAATCAGACGCTAATTAGGACCTGGCCCCTGCGTCTCCTACCTGGCCAGGTCCACTCTCTGAACCTCAGTATAATCCTCTGTAAAATGGGGAGGATAGTGACTACCTCCTGTGTGTGTGTGTGTGTGTGTGTGTGTGTGTGTGTGTGTGTGTGTGTGTGTGTGTGTGT